TTTCCTCCTTTTATTGTTAAAATAATAAAAAGTGCTGGAGGTCTAACTGGATTCAATTCCCTACACTGCAAAGATTGAAATTAAAATCAAAATTAGAACTAAATGGTGATACTAAAGACAAAAAGATATTTTCGAGTAAGAAAAAGAAAGAAAAGAGTCAATTATAAGAAACATTTGGGCCAGGAGTGGTGCTCATGCCTGTAATCCCAGCACTCGAGAGGCGGAGGCAGCAGGATCGTTGTGAGTTCAAGACCAGCCTGAGCTACAAAGTGAGCTCGAGGCCAGCCTGAATTGCATAGCAAGACCCTGTCTCAAAAAAAACAAAAAAAAAAAACATTTGGAATAGAGAATATCCTCATCTGCATGCTAAAAGAAAGTGTTCAGAAACCAGAGGCATAGACATTGAAATAATTCTAATAAATGAATCTCCCTCTTAGTAAAGAAAAAGAAATATTTTAATAGCTAATACTGATCACTTATTGTGTGTCAGCCACTGTGCATCATTTCGTGTGAAAACCTTTCTTTTGAGTCTAGTATGTCATCATCCCTATTCTAGAAATTTGGAAACTGAAATGAATGTCAAATAAGAAATTGGCCCATGACCACTCTACTATAAGGGTGGGGGCTGGAATCTGACTCATAGAGTATAAAGTCAGAGTGCTTGAGAATAGCCTAAATATTGTCACATAGGATAGTAAAAGAAAGAAGGCCATAACATGGGGTCCCAAATCACTGAAATCCTTCTGTGTGCACAGAACAAGGATGGCCAGCTTTGTCCAGAACTCGGAAAGAGCACATCCAAATGAATTATCCATGTTAGAAGCACAACATAGAATGACATACGCGTGAATATGTAAATCACCTTTACAGGTGGTCATCATCTCCTTTATGCCAGTTTTTAAAACTCAAACTGCGTATTGAGTGGAAGGGAGAGTTGTGTTTTCATAGTTTCCCCTTTGCAAGTTATTTACTTATTGAAACAGGGGCAAAGAACTAAACATGGTGGCACTTGCCTGTAATTCCAGGACTTGGGAGGCTGAGGCAAGAGGATGTGAGTTCAAGGTCATCCTGAATTACAGAATAAGACATTGCTTTTAAAAAACAAAAAAGGACAAAAGAACGTAATGGTTTAGAACACAAAGTCATAGAATGCGACTTCTGGCCTGCCCATCTAGAAAGAATCAGGTTGGAGAGTTCCCAGACCCACGCTCTTGCCACCCTTGGATAACTCCCTTAAGTACATAGAAGCAGGCCCCCAAGGACAGGAACATAGGATTAGTGCCACAAAAAGAAAGTGTACTCTATTCTATGCACCTTCCCCAAGCTAGCTGAGCCTCTGTCCTTCTGCAGAGGTTCTTCTGCTCCTTCAGCTTCTTTATGTAGGAATCCATGTAAGTGGCTTCACCTACATGGTACACTGAGCTCCCTGAAGACAGGGATTAGGTCCTACATAGCCTTCAAACTTCCAAGTTTGAAGCATTCAGTATATCACCTAGGACTATTCATCAGTGAAAGACCTTCCCCCATTACTTTTAACGAAAGTTTGTGTTTATCCTGAACCATTCTAAAAACCACAAGAGCTAGAGATCTTGTTCCATGAAGCATGTGTTTCTTATTTTCTCCCAGTAGCAGTTAGTCGCATGTGTCAACAGAGAAAGAACCAACTGGTGACCAGAATATGGTGCTTTTTCCTAGGGCAAGTCCAACTTGCCAAGTGCTCCCTACATAATTTGGACCCAGGGGATATATTCTAACTGGTTAAATTCATTTATCTAGAATCATTATTTTGCTCCCTTTTTACTGAAGCTGTTAAACACAATTAGCAAATAGACTAAACCAATAAAGAGAAAATGCCTTCATTCAAAAGACTTGTTAGAGACTGTTACCAGTTGAGTGATTTGTTCACATTTGATCACCCCTAGGTTCATCTCTACTAAGCTCCTTCTTGGAATCTCTCCTACTTTGTATTCAGTTGACATCAAGCTCAACCATGTGACTTGGTTTAGCCAATGAAGTGTGAGCAGAAGTGTTTCATCCTATAATTACACAGAAATGTTAAAAACCATTGTGATGTTCCACCATTCCTTTCCCTTTTACCTTGAGAATAGCCTTGCTCTATCGGTGTAGGTTGCAGAGTAAACACATGGAGTGAGGTTACAGCCAATCTAGAGTTAGAGTGTTCCGTGGGTGTGACAATTTTCTGTAACAAGCCACTGAGATTTGGAGGTTATGCTTTGTTACCATAGCTTGCTGAAAGTTGATAACTGGAGAGATCTATCTGGAGGCATTTCACACTGTTCTTCTGGCCTGTGCGACATGACAAAGAACTCATAGAATTTGAAATATGAACCTCTGGCTGTTGGGAATATCTGGCAGGATAATGCTTGGAGAGCACCTAGGATGGTGTGAACTTAATAAATATGACTACCTTCTGCATCCTAACTTCTTCCGTTCTCAGTTTATTCCCACTTTCACAGTGGGGGTAGGAAATCACAGATAACGTCAGCCAGGGTCTTGACACTTCTCTGTACTGGTATGATGAACAAGTCATACACAGTCTCTGCCTCACAAAGTTTGTAATCTAGCTTCTAGTAAGAAAGTATAGATAAGCATCCTTGCTTCCTCATATGTCAGAGGGATGCCAGCATCCAAACAAACGTTAACAAAAGCGATTACAGTGAATCTGTGGGATGCAGGGGAGCCATTGTGCTTCACTCTTGGCTCTCCACCACTGCCAATAGCATTCCTCCCAAACGTACACATTCCACAGCACCAAAGGCTGAATTACATCGTCCTCCTTTGTGCCTGCTGGAGTTCCCCAACTCCCAAACTATTACTCTGAGTCAGATTTGCTAGTTTGTGAGTCAGGCTTTGACTGAATTCTAAGATACAGGAGACAAGAAACTGGATCTTCTTTATCATATTCCTCGAAACTGGCCCATGCCTGGAACACGGTGGGTGTTTATCAACATTTTTTGAATGAATGAATGAATTTGATAAACTAATTGCTTTAAGAATTCGCAGTGCACAGTGATGAATTTGTTATGCCAGATGCCCAGGGCTCCACTCAATTGGTAAAGATAGATTTTTAATGACAAGAAATTTTCCACTATGAAACGGGAATGTGATTTACATATACCTACAATCATTAAGCACTTAAAGCCCACTGGAAATTCAAATGAGTAATCCACAAATTAAATTATCAGCTCCTGATTAAGCGGGTGTGGAATTTTATTAAAACTAGTAAAATATATCCCAGAAGTTAATTAATAGCTTGAGCATAACCATGAACTTCATGAATCTGAAATCTGCCAAAACGAAGTATTTTGAAATATGTTCAGCATAGTTTCTAAGTGCCTAACACACAGTCCCACAGCTCTTTACATTGTAATATCCAAAGAGCAGGTAAGCTAATTTCCAGACAGAGAGAGAGACAGACAGACAGACAGACCGAGAACTGAATAAATTCCACTTTTTGTATCTTTTGAAAGGACTGCCAAGTTGCTAAAGTAAGACCATGTATCCAGTAATATCATTCTTGGGGTATCCAAAAACTAGTCCTATTAAGTTCTTTTTTGAATAAGGAATACTTCTTGTTCTTTCTATTCTTACATAACATTTTTATCATCAGAATTCAAGATGCATCTTTCTTTGGTAGAGAAATATTCCCCCATCCTATTGGCCTGGTAAAATTTGGTCGACGTAAACCTGTTGTTTTTTTTTTTCTTAATTATTTTAATGGGATGGACAAACGCAAATCACGACTTGAGTCTGTACACTATCAACCTTCCTTTCCCTGCTCAGTGAAATCGCCCTCTTGCCTGTCGCTCGGTGCTGTTGACCTTGAGCTGCGCTCCAGAAAGCAGGATGAAGGGCACGTCTATCTAGAATTTTCAAGCTGCGAAACACTAAAAAGAAAAATTTTTAAATGCCTTCTCAATTCAAACAAACCACACACAAGAAAGCAGTCTAACATTGGAGTTTGGGAAAGCGACATGGGTTTCCACCTGGGTTCCCAAGTCTTCTCCATGTTCAAGGTTGCGACGGGCTGTCTACAGACCATAATCAGCTACCTACTTTTTTAAAAATTCATTTTATGGTTCTTCACCTGCCAGAAATCTAGTTCAAATAATCTGACTGCTTTTCCCCAGAGTCCTTGGCCAACCTCAAATGCCAACCCTCTGAGAATTCACGCCAGAAAAACAACCCATCTGCTTCAACAGGTCTCTCAACCAACCCACACCCACACGCACACGCACACCCGCAGACGTCTCCTCGTCGCTGCCCTCCCCACCTTTCTAACCCTTTCCCCTTCGACGCACCCTCACTTTCTTCCACTGCTCCCGCCCTTCGCTGCCTTCCCAACCTGATCGTTAATGGACCCTGTGAGTTTTGACTACAGTTTGCCCCTCTGAGCAGCGCTAATTCACCTCCAGAAGGTGTGCGCGGAGGAGCCCCCACTCCCCTCCCCTCCCTCCCCACGCAGCCTTCCGCAGAAGACGGGAACAAGCCTCTCTGCCGCACCTGGGCTGCGGCCAATCTAGGACCGGGGAGCGGGACCTGTCCCCGCCTCCCGCGGGGTGAACCAGGTTTATAGCGCGGACAGCGCTGCCCTCTAGTGCCTGCGACCGGGAACTCGGAGGGCGCCTTCAGCGCCGGAGTTTCGCAAGCCCTAGGGCACCCTGCAGCTCCCGCCGCGGTTCTGCTCCAGCACCCCGCGCCGCAGCGCGCCCCGGTTCCCCTCTGCATCCCTCCCACCCGCTTCTCGGCCCCGCGGGTCCTGGGCGGCCGCACCGTCCGCGGCCGGCGCAACAGACGGCCCCCCGGCCCGCAG